TTGATCACCTATTTGCCTATTTCGAGATTATCCCAATGATCACCTTTTTATTGCATTTAGGCGGATTGTAGAGATTGGGATGGTTTACATAAAACTGCTTTAGATGGATAAAAATTATTATAATATTTTATTATCAACGAACAATTAGATTATGTTTGTATAAATTCTTCAATTCTTTAAAAGTAATTCAATTATTTATTATTATTGATTTCATATAAGAGATTATCAATTAGCATTTAAAAACTAGTTGTTCCGATAATAATAATATATATTTCTTGGTATTAAAAATAATATGTCCAATAGGTTAGCCAATTATCTGGCCTATTTGAGCATTAGCATGCAACAACTACTTATCCATTATGACCAAGTGATTAGACTTAGTATTATATAGACTTGCCTCTTTTGCCAAAGAAATATTAAATTATATTCTTGCTAAATGGTTATGAAGCACAACTTTTTTAAATTCTAATACTTTATTTCAATTTTAAAAAAGCTTTATGTAAAGCAAATTCTGTTAAAGGCAAGGATGTCAATTAAATTAAAAAAATAAGATGAAATTTTATTTGCGAGCTATCTTTTCGTAGGTTTGGCTTATCTAACGCTGCAATTAAGTATAAGTTATACTTAATAATAGAACATTATATATCTGCCTAGCAGAGAATGTAAAATAAAGTTGCTGATTCTGCTTCAAATTTAAACTATTACATTTCCTCTGATTATAAGGAGTTGATTTGTGTTTACTATAATTTCATATTTTAATTATGAATTTCGAAAAGACTCTTTATGAAATATACAAGTTTATATTAAAATATAATAGTCACTTCCGTTTTAAAATTGATGTTAAATTGCACTTATATTCACAAAATATATGGTCTCTCCCGTGCGAATCGTGGAGTAACATTAGCATGACATACTCGATATTACGTTCCTAGAATTAGAGCCTACACATAAGAAAGAATATATAAATCACGCAACAAATAACGCCTCTACGAACAAAAAAGTATTGAAATTTAACAATTAAAAATAATAAAAATATTATTAATTAGTTCAATTATTCTACAGCTGATTAATGATTTCGTTCTAATATAGATACAGCAAGAAAAATGCGCGGATATAAAACTCAAGTACAGCTTTGGGTCAGTTGGTTAAGGAGCGCTAACTCTGAGCTTCAAATTTGGCAGGACACGAGTTTGATTCCTTGTACTTGAAGTTTAAAAAAATTATTTACGAATAATCAAATACAAGAATTATTTCCAAGACCACTGATGATGGATATTTGGTAATACTCGAAACAGCTGTATTGTAAATCAAAAATTTAATTAATTATAATAATATAAAATTTTTGTTGTTTTAGTTCACTACTCTCTCGAAAAACACTACTCTCTCAACACAAAATTAAATAGTTTCTGTATTCTTTTATGAAAAAAAAATATACTCGTACATATATATGAGAGAATACAATTTTATTAACTTATCAATGTCATTTACTTGTAAGAATTTGACATTGAGTCTTAAAATAACTTCTTATGGAAATTTTTAATTCACTATAAAATACAAAAATAACAATAAATTTTATAATATTATTAAATACTTAATATAATTTAACATAGAGTTAAATTTCCTAGATCTAATAACCCCGCTTCCTACCACGTCATTTATTTTTTATTCTATATTTTACGATTAATTTTTTTCAACCAATTTAAAACAATTAACGTCAGAATTTATGTTAATTTATTTCCATTGCTCATAATTGTTTTATTAAATTTATATATTATGTATAAAATTCATGCATTTTTTTCTTATCTCTATTAATTAATAGCTAAAAAGAAGATAAAAGCTCACTAATAATCCAAACAGTCATAATCATGGTCATAAAAGTGTATATAAAATTTTTATGAATTCAATAAAGGCAAACAAATTCACACATCAAATAACAATAATTTGAAAATAATAGTAGAGAAAACAATAAACAATAAACAATTCTGCTTTCAGCGTGTTTAATGTTGTCAATTAAGAGTTTGTCACGGCAAGGCAACCCACAAGTGCTGTTCAAACTTCGCGGAATCGGAATCGTCGCATATGTGTGGATTGACACTTCGAACATGTGGTATGTGCTACTCACGCTTTACAGATTGGCTGGCAATTCTTCGCTAAAAGTTTTCCTTCAACAATTGCTCGGAACTGTGAACCATGAAATGGAAACAAGAAATATATGTAGAATGCGTGTGTTACTCACCCGAACTACAAGCGTTTACATACGTGACGTTGTTACAACAACAAAGCACGTAAACAGGCAAAACAATGAAAACAATAAAAACTTTTATGAAAGAATAGAGATATCATAGCTTTTTATGAATGATACGTATTGGAGCTTTGTAAACATACCATATGCACGCTAATGCTACCAAGCAATTCAACGTACAAATTTATGAATGAATAAATTTACATATACATCTGGTATTTGGTATTTGGCATATACATACACATATACATAGCAACATTCAAAGCCAGCAAGCAGTAGCGAATTGTAAAAGCGCATAGAGGAGCAAAATATGTTAAGCAATAAAAAATCTTTATTAAAACGTCAAAGCAAAAATTTATTCAAATTTTTTATTATATGAGATTTGCATAGAACAGCCGTTTTGATGTGTACTCCGACTGACAAACGGTCAGTCAAACAGCCAACAACAGTGCGTAAAAATATTTTCCTTGTGATATAAAATTATTAAATGCAAAGCGTGGATACTTTAACAGTTGCCCGTCTAGCTTCAGTATCTATACCCGTTAAATGCAGATTTTAGTCGATAACCTAAAAATAAATTAAAAATTTCTTCTTGTTGATGATGCGTAAATATACCATTAAAGCTAAAAATATAACAGTAGTAAAAAAAACTCATGGCAAAAAACAAAAATGGAAATATAAAAACAACTGAATCTTAATTTACAATTAATTGAATTCAAAATAACTAAAGTATGTACAACACATAAAAATAGTTTACTATTTTTGCACTTTAAAGTAAACTTTGAACTAAAATATACATAGAATATAACAAAAACAACATTAAATTATATATAAAACATAAAAATATTTAATATTTTAGCACTTTAAAGTGAACCCCTTTAATTAAAATATATATAAGTAAATAAAAAATATGCAACATACATAAATATTTAGGTTTATTGCACTTTAAAGAAAATTCATTTTAATAATAAGAGACAATCAACACTAAAAGCAAAAAAATCAAACGGGCATGTTATTAACATTATCAAACAATGTTAAGTCTATGTTAAAAAACCAACGAGTACAGCAGCAATACTCGTAGAGTAATTGTATGTTAAAGCAGATTTTTGGGCTCAAATTAAATAATGAATAATATATAATAATATTTATGTATTTATTTATTTGTGAGTTAAAACTCAAATTAATTTTAAAGTTAATTACGAATAAGGAACTAGACTACTAGGTCCTTCGTCCTAAATATATAATAATTATAAATCATTTTTCATTTAAATATTTACTTGAAACTAATTTTAATAAACTTTTTAGACTTTACAAAGTTTAAATTGAAGTATATATATCACACCAATCATAAATATAAGACATATATAGACTCAAGTCTCCTAATTATAGTTATGCAAACCTATAAATTCTTATTCTTTCGAAATTTTTTAATTTATTAACTAAACTGAACTAAATTATACAAATTAAATATCAATTTAATAAACTTAAAACTGAATCTTACTTATAACAGCAGAACATCCACATTAACAAACTAAATAAGATTACCTTCGCAAACCTATGTACCTATGTACCTTTGATATTTAATTTTAATGTAATTTAACTTTATCAGCTAAAGCTATGAAACTTAGATCCATTTGTTTTTTAAATATGAGAGAACATTTTTTCGTTGAATTAACATAACTGAAGGAACGCAATTTCCTATCAAAGAAACTGATTAAAGAATTTTATATGAATTTAAGTATCTTGTAGTTAAACTCAATTATTTTAATTAAATCATACTACATTAACGAAACCTTTGAGGCTTAGATTTATTTGTATATTTTTCAATGACTAAGAACATTTTGTATTGAAATAACGTAACTTCAATTCAAATTGTATTGTATTGAAGTAACGTAACTAAACAAATACGTTAATATTCTTCTGGGAAAATTAAATAAAGCTTTTCGTATGAACTCAAATACTTTGTAATGAACTCACGAAATCTAAAAAATCTATGAACCCTGTATCTATTTAAATAAAAAAGTTATAACTCAAATAACTCCTATATTGTTTATAGAGAAGAAAAAAAGATTAATAAACAAAAGCATAGATAAATAGAAAAATTCTATCTAATTTGTAATTGAAACAATTTTAATAAACGCTATAATTACATATTTTAATGTAAATTTGTAGAAAGTGAAATCAGATGGAATAAGTTAACATGAAAGGATCGTAGATTTGCTAGAGCATATTCCGCGTAGAATAACTTCTCAAAATGATTGATTATAAACTATTTTTAAAATATATTCTAAATATCTAAATGTATTAGACATTGTACTTCTTTTTAAGTTTGCTAAAAATAATGTTTTTTTAAATAATATTTTCTAATACAACTAATTATTAAAATCTCAAAAACAAAAAATTATGAAACACTTTTTATAAAATATGGTCAACTTTCCTGCATTATTCATCACTTTAATTACTTTACAATTTTACTAATATGTCATTATTAGTAAATTTCAACAATTTTAATAAGTAATTTAATAATTTACCAGCATAATTCTTAAACAATTACGCGCTGCTATGACACCTTAATTAGCGTTCAATTAGCCATGCAACATTATAAACTAACAGATGTCGTCATTGTGATGTCACAAACTGGCGGTAAGGTAAATTCTCACAAGCTTATTTAATGCATGCGACAGATACTATGAAATAAAAAATATTAGCTAAACAAAATGAAAATATAAGTATAAAGCAATTAGCAAAACGATAAGAATTAAAAGCGAAAATAATTTTATTATTAACATAATCATTAACAGAAACTACAAAATGTTAGTCAAACATTTAGTCAAACCCACGATAAGAGCCACGTCCGTAGTCACGATCCATTTCACGCCCATAATAATCGCTACGATCACGCGTTGGTAAACCATAGCGATCTGTGTCCGTGTAATAGCCATAACCACGATTACGTGCACCCGTATAATCTTTATTCCAATAACCATAATATTGGCCTAAGCCGCCATTACCTCCATAGCCACCATAACCGCCATTTCCTCCTAATATGTTTGTGCCAGTGGGGTAGTAACCACTTGTTGGGTAGTAAGTTCCACTTGTACTTGGATAATATGAACCGGGATTATTATAGTAAACATTTGGATAACTACTGCCAGTCCAACTAGTACTTGGATAATAGTTTCCACCTGTAGTTGGGTAATAACTTCCAGTTGTGGGATAGTAATATGTTGGTCGGTAGCTAGGATAGCTGCTAGTCCCATAGTTATAGCCATAATTTGGGTTGAAGAGACCTAGTACTGTAATGAAATTAAAAGAACAAATAAACATTTAAAATAAATTTGTAATGTTTAATAAAATTAATAGTGAAATGTCTTCATTTTATTCCAGATATTTATATATAAACTTTTTTTTTCATGAAATTTAACTAATATTTTTACATTAGTCTTATTTACATATGTACTTCAACTTATTTGAGTTTAATATATATATATATGCTAATATATTGAAGGCTGTTTTTTAAGATTTGGTTCCTATTCACTTATCAATGTTGAGCATAGAAGCTATATCTGTCATTTTAAAATTCAATTTGTACAAATATTGAAATCACATGATTATCGTTTTCTAAGCGCATTCACTGACTGGGTGCTGAAGCTGCTAAAATTTTATTAATAAACACTAAAGGACGATTTCACGATCTTAGCTTAACAATTATTTCAGAAACATAATTGAACTATTATGACTTATTTCAACTATTAAAGAAACATACTTATTATTCAATTAAAAGCCTGAAATCGTTGTGAATTTGTCCGTATATACTAATGATATCAGATACTTCTTTAATATTAAAAAAACACGTCCAAGGACGTCATGCCACAATTCCATTATTGAACATACTATCATGAAACACTAACTTTAGTTACTTGATAATGTCTTTGGCAATAGAACATATATCACTCTTAAACACGTTAAAACTCAAAGTCATCCAGACAATGTTTATCTAAACTTTTAAATCGACGTTCATGACTTTAATCTGAGTGTTATTAACAGTAGGATTTGAATTTTATTTTTCTTTTAACAACTATAACCCAATTCTGTCACCAATCGAGGGGCTGAATTAATAGATGATAGAATACTGTTGGATCTTTTTTACTTCAAATTTAACAGTTTTATATGAACGAAACTACTCAGATGAAAGCATACCTCAGAGTGTAGTATTTCTTCGGATACATAAGTGTACTTAACAAGTTAGAAGCACTGATCGGAGCTAATAAGAAGTTAATAAATTGTGTCATTTTAAAGTATTGTTTTACTAGGTGGATTGATAATTACGTGACTTCATAACAGGTGACAACTCCAGAACAAAATCAATTATATTTTGTATATCTAGCAAGTTTTAAACGACAGCAAATAATTAAAAAAGTGAATCGTGGTGATTATTTATAAAATGGAAAAATTGAATATCGTTCAGTAATGAAATTCGTTCATTAAAAAAAAAATTAACAATGGTGCAATCAAATTGGAAATGGGTCTGTTTACGGCAACCTTGCACCATCGTTAACAACAATAAAATATTGAAAAGCTCGTGGTTGTACGTGTGTTTTTGACAAAGAGCCTTCCAACCGTCCAAAAGAGACAACATCCAAAAAAAAATTGAAAAAGTCCACAATATTGTGTGAGATAGTAGAGATGACAAACATATCATATGAACATGTATTGAATATTTTACATAAATATTTAGGTATGATGGGTGCCGCGTTTGCTCACCATTGACCAAAAACGACAACGATTTTATCATTCAAAATATTGTTTGGAAATGTTTAAGCACAATCTAGCTAACTGTGAGCGACGAATAGTGACACTTGGATTCATTACTTCTTTTATCAAAGTATCTACAAAAAAGAACCCTTTACTATTAAGCACTGCCATTTGGAATTCAGATGAGCATTTGAATACAGTTCACCTACATTGAAATGGTTATCACTTGAACATTTAGTTGATTATACTTAAACAATACACAAAGACATCTTTAATTTCTTTACCATTGAGAATAATGAAGGACTAAATACATGAGCCAAATAACGTTGCTCTTCTGCATCTGTTCGCGTTTATTTAAATTATTTCTCAGAATTTTACTATGATGGAATTCTTATAAAATGGATAAAAATACTGCACTTTTTACTTTAACATGAAATTTATTTATAAAATTAAGCAAAGTCATTTATGTAATTAAATAAAGGATATTCATTTAGTTTTAATTTACTTTAACTTAACGTTAAGTAAACAAACAAACGTTTTGTTTAAAAAAATACTTCTTTTCTAATTATAATTACATTTTTTACTAATTGTTTAGATAGATTTTTCTAAGAATGAATACAGTTTATATATACAAGACTTACACGAGTTTATTTAACTAATAATGTTTCCGAAATTGTGAGAAATAGAAAAATAAATCGGCAAGAAAAAAATAACAAATATTATTTAAAAATTAAAAACAAAATTTTTTATTTAAAATTATATCCAATTAATTCATATAACAAAAATTATGTAAAATTAATATTTATTGAAGATTAAAAAAATGTTGAAATCTAACAAAACTTACATTCCTTCCTATTTTTATAATTCAAGTTCCATAGTATGTTGGGGAGATGATATGGTATTTTTTTTAAAACAGTATTAATTTAATTCCAAATAATTATTACGTTGCCTTCAAAGTAATATTCCTTTGATATAATGTAATTGTCACATTGTGAAATACTGAAGGAACGCTTTTTTAAAAGTGTTCTTAAGTTCACTCTGCGATTTCACTGTATCTGTTATTGAGAAACATTATTCCTTAAATGTTCTTTTATGTTTATCAAATAGAAAAGTGTCAGATTGTCTTATCTGAAGAGTGATTTGCCTGCGACATTAGATGTTAGCTTTGCCATATTCTTTTGTGGCATATTTTGCCGACTCTTGTGTTATTTCAAAATTTTTGTAAAGTTTCACATACGTCACATAACTAATCTATATCTTCAGGAATCTTACTAATAGTAATTATTCATTTGCCAAGCAAAATCTGTTTAGCTTTTTTTAATAATTTTCAACATTAAAAAATTTTTTTTAAACATAATTTGATTTCCTCCTAAAAGTTTTTCTACGAATCATAAGCTCATGTTTGTAACATGATATTGTCGTATAAGCCACTTGTAACATCTTACATCCTCTGCTGCCCTTAATTCGGGTTTTTAAATAAAATCCTACACGAACTGTTTGATTGGATATTTTGGCATCCAACAAATCGCCAACTTGTTCATTTTATTTGCTCGCTCAGGAAACACACAAACTAAGTAAACTTCATAGCTGATTGATAGTTAACATCCAAGTTAATGACAACCAATACATAAAAGAGTTCTTGGCTCGATAAGGAAAATAGATCATGAATAATTTATGACTCTTATTTTTTTAATACACCTTGTGTATTTGTAAAATTAATAACCGGCAGTTTGTACCAAGGAAGTAAGGCACTCCACATCTCAATTGATGCGATTTTAATCAAATTAACTCATAGGCAGTGCGAGTATATTATTTTGTATCTATACTTCATTATTTAAGAATAGTTTTTTTAAAAAATAAAAGATCCTGAGGTTGTTTTATATTCTCTTATTTTCTTATTCATACGTTTTTTTTTTGTACTGTTAGCTAGCACTTTCACTTCTACTAATTTAAATGTAAACATTTCCTACTTCAATAAGAAAAATAGATGTGTTATCTCGTATATGATATGAATATAGTTAGAATCTTATTATCTTTGTATCTAAAGCTGCCAGTAAATTGATATCAATATCAATTTGCGATGCATGACTTTTTCAAAAATAAATAAAAGTTTTTAAGTTGAAACTCTCCAGCTAAGAATAAAATTGTATAGTTGACCTAAGTTGGAAATACCTCAACATTAGACATAAGCCATATTGTGATCTCAATGAAATGTTTAATTTGTTGAAAGTAAAATTGTTTTTGTTAGTGTTATTTTATAGATCTTTATATAAGTACATATTTTGCTTAAAAACTAAATCTTCTATTATTATTATTTTTTTTTTGTTTTCCGTAGTTGATTGGTTTCGCAAATCTTTCATAAGTTTCATTATAAAAATTTAAAACTTATATCTAATTGTATATTGTGTATCTGTAAATTGTGTTGTCAATGTAAGAAATATCCACTCAACACTATACATATTTAGAATGCAGAACCTTAAATATAATACGATCAGAAGGGAAATACGCAGATCTTAGTAGGATGATCTATTCTAATAGATCACTTAAATTTATTTCCTCCTTCTATTAGTACAAAGTAACCACCACAATGAAGTAGTAAAGGTATTTGTATACAAATAACATGAGCTAGTGATTAATCACTAATGTAGTTTTTAACTTTATATCATTGAATTGATTAAACTACTTTTGAATGCTTATTAATATTTATAAGTTTATAAACTGAACTATGAATTTATTACTCACATAATTTTAACAACAACTGCAATCATTTTTAATTTAAAGCAATAGTTTTGCTTTAACTTAAAAGTTTTTTAAATAAAATAGTATTTCCGTCAATAATGCAATTTAAATAATTTATATAATTTATTTCACTTACACTTTGCGGATGTTGCTGAAGTATCTAAGTCAGATTTTCGTTCCACTGCTTTGCTTTCAATATTGTTATCCACCGCAGATGAGTTCGCAATTAATATTAACAACTGCAGATATGAAATAAAAAACATTTTTTCTGAATATATTCAAAATGCTTTCCTTCAAAAAACAAAAACTTCTTAACGTTGACACAACTTACACCAACCACAGGTATCAAGAATTTCATATTAGAAAACATTTTTTGGCAGTTTTTTTTTTTTAAATATTAATTTGAAGTTTATTCCTTTGAAATAATATAATTGAAGTCACTTTTACTTTTAGCTTTAAACTTTCTTTCAATAATTTTTGTTTCACGTTAAAGTGATTGTTTTGAAAATATTATAGATAATACTGTACAAAAATAAAATGTCAAAAATCCGATAAACCACCTCCACTTACGACGTTTTAAGATACTTTAAATCTAAATTTCAACAAAGCACTCAATTTATATTTTTCATTTTCCGGCTGAGTTGCGACGCTAGAAACTTTAAATTTGAATGCTTTATTACTCATGCTATGTACTAAATTTATATGAAATACAATTTTAAGCACACAACTAATCTTAAGTAAAGCCAAGATAAAATACATAAAAATTTCAGTTAAAAATCCATCAAATTTGAGCTTTTCTCATCGCTAGTCTCAAATTCAAATGCGAAAGCAAAACGATATAAAAACATTTTAAACGTCTTTTATGCTAACATTGCGTTTCGTATTAAATAAAAATTAAAATTATAAATAAATAAAGCTTTATTTATTCTTAAAGTATTTTAAGTTAAATACTGCAAAATTCACAGAGAACTGAAATAATTTAAATATTACAATTTTAAACTGAATGGCTTGTAATAGCCTCAAAAGCCTCAACTTCAGCTCATACTTCAATTTTATTTTATTTTAATATTTCTATTTAATTAGCAAACAATTTCTGTCAACTTATAAGCAAATTAACTTTAAAAAAGACTATGTATACTAAACTAAAATTTAAAATTGTTTTGATAAAAGCCGCTTTCAGACGAACTTTTGCTCTAAAATGTACTACACTTTTGAAGTCACATAATAAATTTTCACAAATTTGAGGTAATTACGTTAATAGTTGATGTCATAAAATCAATTTCCCTATTTTTATTCGAATGCTCACATATATCGACTCTTAAGTGTTTTTGAAAATTGGTCCTTACAACTACATAGAAGCCACTCTTCTCTATAGCACAGGACTGAGGTTGTAAACAGATTATTTGATGAGTCATCTCAATAGAGTTGTTGTTGTTAGCAGATAATCTGATAGGTCATCAAAATAGGTTTTCTGAAGTTACAGAAGTAACTGAAGTAAACTTTGCCAAGGCGGAGATGAGTCTGGCTTTCATTCACGTGATTACTGAAGGAATAATTTTCCACATTTCATTATTGATTTTATTAGTGTAACATGTTTGAATGAGGAGATATACTTCTAGTATCTGTTTATTTCAATGTACTTTTAAGTATAGCTATGACTTTTATTGTATGTTAACTGCTATTGACTTTACACAACAGACTCTGCTTTCAGATTTTCTTTTTCTTTTATGTTTTCTTTTATTAATACACTTATTCCTCAGTTATTGTAGTTTTCTTAATTTGATTCTGCTACTACTATTGTCCATTTCCCACAGTGGGACATACGGCCTCAATAGTTCTTCTAAGTCTGAAGAATTTTTCTATATAAATTATTTCTATTTAAATTTATTTGGTGCTTGTCTGTAGATGTCGTTCCAGGGATATGGTGCTTCAGCTAGTTCGCTTCTGCTACCTTGCCTCGCTATGACAATAATATTTTTAATTTTAACTGATGGCTTCAATTCTGACAGAATTTAATTCAATAAAACTTATTCTAATACAAATTTAAACTAATTAATTATAAATAATACAGAAAAGTGTCGTCACCTACTTAACAGAGTTAAGATTGAGTAACTACAAAGGAATCCCTTAGTGTTGAGATAGTAGTGCTAGACAGTTTATCAGACAAAATATGAAAACAATTTAGCTACAGCTTTCTGATGGAGAAGTTTGTAGACAAATATACGACTGAAGATTTTACCGCAAAGACTATATGGAATATTCGTAAGTACCGGGTAAAGGAACTGCTATTATTTCTACTGCAGTCTATTTATTTTACATCTACTACTGCGTTGCTTGCGTTCCTTGCGTTCCTTGTTAAAGAATATTTACTTGTGCGCGTATTCGCAAAAGCAAATTTACAACTCTGTTTCCGGAAAATGAAATAAATTACTTTAGCTTTTGCAGATGTTTTTATTGTTTGTATAGTTTTTATTATTTATTTATTTTTTATAAAGAGGTTTTCGAACAGAAGTGAAACAACAACAAAAATTTATTTTTTTTTTTTATAAATTATTTTAATTAATTGAATTTTTGACTATCCATACAGCTGTTTCGAGTATTGTCAAATACCCTTCATCAGTGGTCTTGGAAATAATTCTTATATTTAATTATTCGTAAATAATTATTTTTGAGACTGCAAGTACCTGGAATCGAACTCAGGTCCTGCCAAATATGAAGCTCAGAATCAGCGCACCTTAACCAACTGATCCAAGGCCGTACTTGACTTTAATGTTCGCATATTTTTGCTGGAGTTTTGTTACTTTTGCTATGAAAGTTTTTATTAACAATTTTGCTTGCTGTATTTATATATTAGAACGAAATCATAAACCAGCTGTAGATTATTTTTTAATGCAATAAAATGTAATGTAATGTAAGTAAATATTAATAAATTCTAAGAAAAGTGTATTAAATACACTTTATAGAGTGTCAAATTTTTCTTCATTTTTTTTTTTTATTCAGTTTAATTTTTAACAAATATTTTTTTTGTGCAGTACATTACTTAACTTGAGTTAAATTTATTTTTAATTCCTGATTTAATTACTTAAGTAAATGATTTTAAGAATGATTTTGATTGTACTCTTTACGGTGATTCTGTAATTACTCCTATCTAGGGATCTTTCTTGTGCCTCACTTGTGCCTCACCAACAAAATATATATCAGATACAGTGGTCTTTCTCAATGAAATGAACTGTATGGACTCTATCGCTTCGTAATATGTATTTATATATGTTCTGAACGTATACTTATATTTTAATATCTTCTATCTCATAGAAATATGTATTCTATCTTACACATATATTAAATTTCATCAAAATAGTTAAGTGCTTAAATACTATTAATAAATACTATTTCTAATATATTGTTTAAGAACTAATATATTGTTTAATATATATATGAATATATTAATATTCATATATTTAGAACCAGTGACCTACTGATTGGAGTCTTCATTAATCCTCGATGTGTGCTCTTCTCAGTACACTCAACTAAATACTAAGCTAAGCGTTATTGCCGTTAAAGGTAATGAAAATAACATATAACTTCTACCTATCTGAAATAATATGCTGCTACAGTATTTAAGCATATACTTAGACATTATTAAGATTTTATTACCATATTATCAACTCCGCGCTATAATACAATTTCTTTAATACCACTATGTTAAGTGATAGTATTATTTACTCTACTATTTTATTTTTAATTTAATTAATAATATTCAATACATACTCTGATATCATAACAAAATTTTGCTAAAAATATTGATTGAACGTCAATATGTGATTGCAATTGGAACTGTATGGTCCAACAAGTATAAATCTGTAGTTGGAACTATTACTGGAATCCAGAAAATTCGTATACTTGAAGAAACGCTGAAAACACCACTCCAGTTTTTAAGCATTAATACGAGCTAAATATTTTTAAAGCACTTATGCATTAAAAATTGGTATTAAGGCAATAAAAATAAGTGAAAAGTGTGAGATAGGCGCCAAACTGCCCGTTTTATAGGGATGCTAAGGGTTCACTAGAATAAGGGGCAGTATCTAATGATTTCAAGCAGATAAAGTAAATGTGGGTTCACATTTTTTTTATTAGAACAACTTCAGAAGCAATCTTAACAGTACAGGGAGGGCTCTGTTACGTGTTGTGTTCGCATGAAATATACATGATTATTCCATGCAAATTATATTGCTTCAAATATAATGCCTCCTTCAACATTTTCCCTTTTGTCAGTGTTTTGTTTTAGATAAACAACCAAAACAAATTAGTCATAATATCTCAATATTATTATAATTGCAAAGCAACTTTACAGTGGTTGGTTTTGTTTTAATATTTCATGACACTGCCTCGCCTTAAAAATTAATTTAATTAGATACGAGACACTTGCAGTTATTGGCTGTTATATTTTTATTTAGAACATATTTCATGCAATTTGTTCAAAAGTATATATATATATTACTTTTAAGTTCTGAAACCGCAGGTTGAACTAAAATAACCAACAAAATCTACAAATTTAATGAGCTTTTTGTTCGAACCTCAGGTCGTTCGATATAGATATTTTCTATTTAATGTCTTTGTTGTTGTTATTGACAATCCAGGTATTTATTGTGGGCAATATAAGCGTTTTATAATTGAAGCGTTTTCGTAACTTTTTTTTGTTTCAGTGTAATGTTTACACTAAGCAAATATTGACACTCAAACAGAGAAATATTGATTTTGTTTTGTTGCTTAGTATTTCATTAAGAAATTTTATGTCAAATTTTTCCCACTTTGTGGTGGAGACCCAAGCAAATGCCCTTGAAGTTATTACCGAATTCATTCATAAAAATTGCAATTTATTTTTAACACAAAGGTGCGGTTATGTATCTCGTATCTTTTTGTGTTACTTACACAATATTTTACATCCTGCAAACGCTTTATATGAATACTTGTAGTTGAAAACCACAAGGTTTGGTGCTGAGTCAACGACATTATTTGAAATCTGTTTTAAGTAAAAAAAATATTAGAAAAGTTTGCAAAATTATGTTAAATTATTTAAATTTATGGAAAGAGAATAACATCTGGCAGATAATTTATAAAAGCGTCTTAAAATAAATTTAAATTAAATAAATTTAATTGTTAAAATAAATATATAATATAATATTAAAACTAAACAAATTAAATTTACTAAAAAAATTATTTTGAATTAAGTAAAATATAGAATTTCAACAATTTTAATTTGCTACGACTGAGTTTTAAATTCTTTTAATTTGCAATAATTTGTTACGCGTAAGGAACTTCGTCTAAGTTGAACTGCTTATTACTTTTGTTCTATGAGATATTTTGTAAAACTACAAATTAAGGTAATTTCGAAAATTGTTTTAGAAGTATTTTGTTCTCACATAAAAGGAAACGAAGTTTCTCTTAAGCATAACATTGGCATTGAATTACAAAAGTTTTTAAGTAATTATAAGTATTTTGTCAAACTATT